TTTTAATTTTTTAATATCTTAAAAATATATAAAACATATTTAATATATTTAATATTTATTATAATTAACATTTTATATATTTTTAAATTAGTAAATAGAAACAAAAATTAAAAGCCAAAACACTAAAAAATGTTATCAAATGAAGCTTTAAATTGTATTTGAAATTATTGTAAAATATTATAATTGTGGTTGTGATTTTGTTAATATTCAATCATAAAAAATTATATTATTGTCTAACTTATGAATTTAAATTTTTAACCATTTGAAATATTTTTTTATAATATGTTTGATTTGAGTGAAGTGGAGGAAAGGGGAAAGATGATTTTTTTTAATTAATTAAATTATAATGTTTTTAACTATTACAATTAGTAAAAAAATCTAATCCTCCCCTCTCCTTCGCTTGGTTTTTTTCAAACAAAATATAACCTTAGACACTAAATTGAATTAATTGATTGTTGAGCCAATTAATCTACACTACTCAAATTTGATACTTCAAAATCTTAAAAGATCTATCTTAGCCTTACTCTTTGTTGATTTGATCGCATTATATTTCTTGTGAACTTCCTCAAAAAGGAGATTACAATTGGCCTGGTCATTGCCTACTTAATTAAGAGTCTTGCTCGGCCGACAGTTATCAAACTATGATTTTTTTTTTTTTTTAAGATAAAAGTTAGCAAATCATTATGTTTCGTACTAATGAAAAAACTAATCAAATGAATCAATTTCTTGGTAAGAGGGACGAATATGCAATAATTCATCAATCATTGTCAATAATAGGGACACAATTCTTCTAGACAAATCATTTAAAAAATTCAATGCTCCTCTTTGACAGATCATATTCGTATCTTCGTTTTCTTTTACTTAATTGTACCCTTGTTTTAAAATTTGGTAGAAATCTTATTTATATTTTTCAAAGATATCATGTAGAAATATAATCAAATAAACAAATTTTTTTGTCAACCCTAAGTTTTCATTTGTCTTTGTGGAATATATAAGAAAGCTACTTGCGAATAGCAATAACCAATCCCAAATATTTAAGGAGCTATAGGATTAATTTAAAATTTTAAAGTAGGCTTACATTTTGCAAGATGAAATATTATATATATATATAGGAAAGAGTGTCTATCTGTCTAATTTCTTAAAAATTATAAGAAAAATTATCTTAAAATTACGTTGTTTCAAGAAAATGAGTTTCAATTAAATAAAATAATATAGTTTAAAGTTTGGATTCCAATTTATTTTATGAGTAAAAATTGTTATATACTTTTCCATATAAATATATATATAGAAGATAAATCCATTTATATAAAAGTTTTATACATCACACAAATATAAAATTTTTATCATTTATCTTTTCACTTTTAATAGTTATGATTTATTATGAAAAATAATTATTTTTAGTAAATATAAATAAATCTCAATTATTAAAAATAAAAAATTAAATAATTAAAATTTTATATAAATATAATATATAAAAATTTATATATAAATGAATCTCTATTTATATATTTATATATATTCAATCAATTAAGTTTTATTTTGATTATAAGTGTACATATATATACTTCATAAACGACATAGTAACACTTCAATCCAAAAAATAGCCACAGCCAGCCTTAGTACGTCGGCCGGCCATTGCAGCACATGTAAATATGTAATTATGGGCTAGATTTGTAAAGCTGTTTTTTATTTTTATTTTATTTTTTTTTTTCCTTGGCCTTTGCATATCTGTTGAAATTCAACTGGTAATAGATGACAGAAAGTCGGTGGCGGGTAATGCACTGTTAACGCTGAGTAATAATAGTAGGGAGCAAATGATGGGTAGCTGTTAATTAGAATTGGTAATTTGATTGTTAATTAGTTATTGTCTTGTTAATAATTTAAATAATTTAATGATATTTATTTTATAAAAGTGATAAGTTATAAATTTAAATTATAGGCATATAAATGAAGTGAAAAAGAAATAATTGTTTTTTATTATATAATTTAAAATTAAAAGAAAAAAACTGACTATTGTCTTTTGTCCGTAACTGTTCCAAATTAGGACATATTTAATAAATAATTAGTCTTTTCTTTTTCGATGAAAAAAGTTTTCTCTTTCCTCTAGTTATTTTTTAATTTCTATCCTTAAAGAAAAAACTATTATTGCTAATATTATAATAATAAAAAAATATATGTACAAAAAAAAATAATCTATAATACTCCTTATGGTCAAATTTAATTGTCTTATTTTTATTTATTAAAATTCATTTAATACAATAATTAACATTTATTTTTTTATTTTACTCTTATTTATAATTAAATAAAAAATTTTAAGCCATTTATTTTTTTAGATAAAGATAAAATTAAAATATAAATATTTAATATATTATTAAATAAAAAATAAGGTAATTAAATCAAACCACATCCATTTAAAAAGTGAGATAACTAAAGGGGGTAATAATAATACCTAATCCCAAGTTCACAACAAATATGAGCGTAATTGGTGGGGACCTAAATCAGAAAAGAAAAAGTCTGAAGCCAATTAAGGCTGTTGAAAGTTTATCCAACTGGATATTTCTGTTCGTTCAATTCTCTGCAGCCTTCTTATCGTTTTCTTTTAGGATATGGATCAAGACCCCAACGACGCGCATTTAATAATATTAGCAGATCAATTTTCAATATATTTGCGTTTATATCTACCAAATACCTATCATGAACATACCTCTGGTATATACATGAATTCGATTTTGTTTTGTAATTTTATAGCTTTCTTATATTAATACAATTTTATTTTTCATAAAAACGTACTTATTATATAATGATTTAACAAAACCGATATTGTGATCAAACCATTATATTAAATAGAAAGTACTAAAGTATAATTTAAAAATTATTATTTTTTAATTATCAAATCTCACGTTTGTAATATGTTGAAGTACTCTTT